GACATGGACTCGAACCCGTTACCCTCTAAATACCGTACCGCGGCTGTACCGACATTTGTTAATAGTTTCATTATTTGTACATGTATAGTGAACATTTTACTAATTATACATTGTACTATTTCTATATTTTTGTACAAATAAAAATAGCTAGATTTTTTTCTAGATAAATTCTATGGTGGCTAAAATATACCATGATGTACTTTTTAGACATGTAATCACAACAGACAGGCTAAGCCACCCTTTACAAAATTCCCTTATCTGTCAGCTCATTATCAAAGCATAGACTACTATTTTTGTATGTGGCCTGGGCTTTTAAATATTAAAAATATTTTCTGTTGCGCTGTCTTTGTAAATCCAATAACTTTACATCACAACCGGTTTCCTTATTTTCCTCATTTTTTTCCTTTCGACTACTGTTTCAAACCTAAAATAAAATTGCGTTCTTAATTATAATAATATTTATATATACTCATCTATTGTAATGCCCTAGAAATTTTACCTTTTTTGGGATTTCACGGGATTTCAGTAGAGTTTTTTATTTTTCATTTTCGTTTTGAAAGATTTTATGGCGCAAGCCCCAAGATAAATATGGGGGTGTCCTAATAAAAAACCCCCAACAACATTTTTGGGGTTTTTGGGCTCAAAACCCTTTTTAAAATAAAAATTAAATGCAAAATTTGTCAATCCCAGCACATGTACTGATCATATATATCAAAAAAACTTAATATAAGCCGTTTTGAAAAAAAATCATATTTCAACATCTATAATGAACTTGCAACTCGAAGCGGGCAGAATTTTTATGAAATTGTGTGGATACGACGCAGTTCATATTGCTTTATGTATCGTTTTTTCCTTCAAATCAGTAATATATTTATTTCAGAGTTCACCATAAACTTCGAAATATAATTTTGCATCATTTACTAACAATTTCATTAAAAAAAGATGTTTATTTTCTAAGAAAATAATAATTTTTACGAAATGATACGACGCAGTTGAAAATAAAACATGATACGACGCAGTTGTATTTTCATTGCAGGCTGCATATTGGTTAAACAATTTAAATTATGTTCTAGGTTTGCTAATAACGTCCAACAACATTTCTTGCTTACAACTTAAGTCAAAAGCAGAGGTCACTCATTGGTTCCATAAAAATGGAAATGTAATACAATTCTATTAAGGCTTCATTTTTCGGTCGCATTTTAGTACCTATCATAAGCATCTACAAATTCCGAAAAGCTGTATCAAATGCAATATACATTGAAACACGTGATCGCACACCCATATGACAACGTGTTCCAGTGTTGCCTAAGCATGCTTCTAAAATTGTTCCCATGAGTTCGAAATGGGAGTGATTACTATTTTTGATACAAAATTCAATATTCCAGTGTAACCTCTCCTGGACCCTGTATTAATCAGGAATGACATTTTTTTTTAAAAAAAGAGAAAGAATTACAAATTTTGAAAAGGTCTCAGTGCTATCGGAGAGCTATGCGCAAATTGCATGCCTACCTTTGTTACTTGTAATAGCAACAGTTTCCGTCAATTCCGTTATTACTTATGTCTTTTACGTGCCGATTTTATTGTATTCATTTTCTTAATAATCGGTGAGAACACATGAGCTTTATTATTTGAAACTGAACATTGAATTTTTAAAATTATATTACAATTTATTACCCTTCCAGATTTTTTCCGCCTTTTTGATTGGTTATTGATCACCCGAAAAAATATTGACATTACAGAGCCAGACGGGTAATATACACACTAAATTTCCCCGTTGGGTACCCCACGTTGTAAACAACATGCGCTGAAGTGATGCGCATTCGGTTCGATTTTACGCGGTGTAAATTCCGATTTACTAGCACTTTTTAACTGTCAAATGAAAAATGTTTACCAAAGTAAAGATATGACACATATTCTCATCAGTATTGAAAACAAATATGACCTTGTGAAAGCTTGATATTAATTACAAAAAAGTGCGTTCAATAGACTACTCCTTTTCTCTTGTTTACATTCGTTAGGTACGGGAAAAATACGTCATGTATTTATGCGACGTCATGTTGTGATGAAGGGGTACCCTAAAGGGAGTCTTATTTCGACGTTTCATTTGAAACAACAATGATTTTTTAAAAAAAAATCGTCTAAACTCGGCAGGGGAAGGGTAATAAAATTATTATTTTGGTTTTGGAGTGATATGTGGATATATTACCTGCCAAGATAAAATATCACCCGAGCCGTTAGTAATATATCCACATATATCACTCCAAAACCTATGGTGGCTGATTTGTGCCATTCGTGTTTTCGCCCCGCGCCCCCGCCATTTTAATTTGAAAAATCTCGACTTTTCTCTTGGCGGGGTCGCGGGACGAAAACACGCTAATTAGCGTGGGCGCCGGGCGAAGTTTTATTTCATTAAACTTCGCCCCGCGCCCACGCCGTTTTATTTCTTAATTCTTGCTCCGCGCCCTCGCGGGGAGAAGTTTTATTTGTTAAACTTCGCCGCGCGCCCCCGCTAATTAGCGTGTTTTCGCTCGGCGACCCCGCCATTTAAACTTGTTAATTCTCGACTTTTCGCTTGGCTGGGTCGCGGGACGAAAACACGCTAATTAGCGGCAGCGCGGGGCGAAGTTTTATTTTATTAAACTTCGCCCCGCGCCCCCGCCGTTTTATTTCTTAATTATCGCTCCGCGCCCTCGCGGGGCGAAGTTTTATTTATTAAACTTCGCCGCGCGCCCCCGCTAATTAGCGTGTTTTCGCTCCGCGACCCCGCCATTTTAACTTGTTAATTCTCGACTTTTCGCTTGGCGGGGTCGCGGGACGAAAACACAAATGGCACAAATCAGCCACCATAAAAACCAAAATAACATATAATATTTTTGCAAGTAGGTTATGCGTTCCGTTTAGTCTTTTTATGTTCAGCGCCGCGGAAGTGTACCGCTGATTTTGTCGTATTGCATTTCTTCATCGCCGACGAGGAAAGGTCTACGGAATGTATTTTCTATATTTGCATTTAAGTATCATTCTTCTCCATTAAAAAACTTTAAAATTTCAAAATCGAGTTACATATGATACAACTACAAATTATTTTGTAAAAAATGTGTCCGTTTTGCAAGGGTATTTTACGCTGTGCACCGATAAATTTGATACAGATATAGATAGGCAGACACCATCTTTCAACAGTATTGAAGAATTTTTCACAATATTGAACAGAAAATTTAGGTCAGATTACCGCATCGAATTTTCAACAGACAAGAGACATGGCATCTTAACATACCTTCATACTAAAGTGTGATTTTATTTGATTTTTATTTGATAATGAATTGCCTGAAAACTTAAACAAAAGTTTTCAGAAAATGACTTCACAGAGGATTACCCCCTGTTTACATTGAAAATTTCTCTGCTAGCCATATCGAAATAAGAAATTTAAATGTTACTCTCTTTATAATTAATTCAAATAATTATAATCTTAAAACTTCACGCCAGAGGTTTATAAAAAAGCTGCTTATTTGTACAGCTGACGTTAACAAATTTTGTTGAAAAAACAAATCAGACAGGTGTGTCCGACCGAGGCCGAACTGTTTATGTTTACTGAATTCAAATCACTTGAACTGAACTGCTATGAATTCGAAAACCACCAGGGACTTTTTATTCTTTCGTGTGGAAAACCTATCAAGCTAGTTTCAAAATGTCGATGGTTCTCTGCAGGTGCAACATTTTGCCTAAAATAATGCACAAAGGCGCGCCTGAGGTCCTCGCCCCTAGTAAAGCTAATGTGTAGAGTGAAAGTTTGAACACAAAAAGCAGTCATATACCCAGAACATGCAGAACCACAGTTAACTTGGAGCGTAGCTAGCCAAAATGAATTCAAGTTAATAGATTTCTACATTTTTTTTGCAAAAAAAAATTAGGGATAATATTGAACATACGGGAAAATATAAGAAATTATTTCAGATATTATGATCAATTAGGTTACATGTTCATGTTTAACTGAAAAGTAGCTTCCGCAATTTAAACTTTCAAATTAAATGTTATATTAGACATGACACAATGTTTTCTAAATAATCAAAAGCAATATAACATTGCTATACACTGCAAATGATCTGGGGTTTTGTTATCTAGGGCAAGTGATTATTCCATAAAATAGAAATATATTGCCAAAATTATCCCTGTTGAAAAGACAAAAAAAAAAAAAAAATCAAGAATACAACTGCGTCGTATCATGTTTTATTTTCAACTGCGTCGTATCATTTCGTAAAAATTATTATTTTCTTAGAAAATAAACACCTTTTTTTAATGAAATTTTTAGTAAATGTTGCAAAATTATATTTCGAAGTTTATGGTGAACTCTAAAATAAATATATTACTGATTTGAAGGAAAAAACGATACATAAAGCAATATAAACTGCGTCGTATCCACACAATTTCATAAAAATTCTGCCCGCTTCGAGTTGCAAGTTCGCTATAACTTTTGTTTTACAAAATAGTTGTGCAAGCAACATATACCGAACGAAGCGGAAAATAGTGTAGCGTGTTAATACATATATCTGGTTTTCAGTCATTTCCAACAAAAAAAGTTATAAACAAAAACATACGTTTTTCGTTCTAAGATGGCGGCGTTTGTTTACATTTTGTAGGATACGACGCAGTTTTGATTCCCAGCCATGTAGTGCATCATAATAAATTTGTCGACAAGTTAAGGCGGAGCGTACTTAAACAGAGACGGAGCAAATAAAGTTAGTGACATTCTCTCGTTCCATTGAGACACTTCATCCCCCCCTTTTTGTTATTTTGTAATAAACAACTTTTTATGTAGAAAATGTTAAATGTATTCAGTAGTGATTGAGTATGTTTATTGTTTTAACATATTGTGACGATTTTGATTGGACATTTTAGGACTATATAGTTTTACATGAAGTAAAGGTTTATCTGGACTAATAGGAAAAGATTTTACCAACATAAAGAGATTTTATGATCAGTGATAAGCAGTAGTGTGTTTGAAGTCATTCAGTTTAGTGTTATTTTGGTTATTGAAATTGTATGGAATACTTGATATTTGGTGGAATAATACATTTATTTTACCGACGAGACAAATCCTCGCCCAGAGAACAAGGAAACGTTACAACATTTAATTGTTATATTATCATGTAATTGACCAAAGACAATGGATATATCGTTTTTGCCCTGCAAAAAAGGCTCATATCACAAAATTATTTGTAAGTTAATTCTTTATTTTATTTATATTTAATGATCATAATTATTTTTTTTTCAATCACATTGCAGTATTTTTCAAATTTCTGCTTAGTCTAACTTTGGTTCATTCATTCATTCGTTCGTTCGTTCGTTCGTTCTTTCATTTAAACATATACATGTATATACATATACTGAAATATTCATTTTATTTATTTATATATTTTTTCATGCAATATTATTTTTTATTTATTTTTCATACAATATTATTTATTTATTTATTTATTTAATTGTCATACAATTATACATTTTTAATCAAATTATCTAATCAATTATGAGATAACTGTTTAATAAACAACCAATCAGCATGTTGAATAAACAAGGTGACATGCAAGAAACAATAATGAAAGTGCTTTGTATAAAAGTGGGCAATACGACCACTGGTTTATGACCAGGTTGAAGCTTATTTTAAGGATAAAGATCTGCTGTATAAATTTCAATCAAGTTTCAGGATTGGCTTCTCTACTGATACTTGTCTGATTCACCTTACATACTTTATCAGGTATGAAAACGATAAAGGTAATGTTGTTGGTATGGTGCTGCTGGATTTGCAGAAAGCGTTTGACACAGTCGACCATCCCATTCTTTTAATGAAACTGCAAGCATCAGGTCTTAGTATTGACGTCCTAAATTGGTTCAAATCATATTTATCAGATAGACAGCAGCTTGTAGATGTCTCTGGTACTTATTCTTCCAATTCCAAAATAACATGTGGTATTCCTCAGGGCTCAATCCTTGGACCCCTTCTCTTTTTAATTTATGTAAATGATATGTCAGCTGTGCTCAAAAATAAATTGCTTTTGTATGCTGATGATTCTGGTATCCTTGTATCTGGTAAAAGTTTATCTGTTGTTGAAAAGGCATTGACAGATGATATGGAAGTGGTTAGCCAATGGTTAGTGGACAATAAGTTGTCATTGCACTTGGGTAAAACAGAGTCATTTATTTGGGTCCAGGCAAAAGCTTAGGTCACAATCTTACCTGCATATAACCTGTTCTGGTACATCCATTGAATCATCTATCAAGTATCTTGGGATTACTAGACCAAAATCTGTCATTTTGCGCCATGGCCGAGTCTGTTCTTAAGAAGGCCAACTCTCGGTTAAAATTTCTTTACCGCAAGAAAGAGTTTCTTACTCAGCATACCAAGACACTTCTTGTTATGTCTCTTATTCAGTGTAACTATGATAACGCATGCTCTGTTTGGTATAATAGCTTGACACAGTCTTTAAAAAATAAGTTACAAACTTGTCAAAACAATATAATGAAATTTGTACTTGACTTGGATTCCAGAGCCCATATTGACCCATCCCACTTTAAGTCCCTTAACTTGTTACCGGTCCACAGAAGAGTTGAACAGATAATGTTGTGTCATGTTTTTAAGATAAAAAATGGCCTGTCTCGGGATGACATGTCTGAACACTTTATTTCGCAAGATTCCGTACATAAATATAGTACAAGACTTAGTCAAAAGGGTGGGTATTGTCTACCTAAGGTCAAAGGTCAGGGTTCTAAATCCTTTGCTTTCTCTGGTATTAAATTATGGATTGATTTATTTGTAGAGTTAACGGAGATCAACAGGTTACAAAGTTTTAAGGTTGCCATCAAAAGTCATCTTATGTACAGTATATAATGCTTTTTTACTACAGTCCGACCTCGGTTATTCGACAACCCTTTATTCGAATACCTGGCAATATCCGAAGTAGATCGGCGGTCCCGTTTTTATCTATATATAAATCAATATAAATACAAGCGTATTATTCGAAATGCATTATCCGAATACCTCCTATTTTTCGAAGTAAAATTTCGGTCCCGATTATACAATTATGAAAGAATTTCACACCTATTATTCGAAGCCAGACTAATTGGCGCAGATCCACTCGCTGACCGGTCGACTTGTGAAAAATATCAACAGTCATGCGTGTAATTAGACAATCATGATAATAACACTTTGTGTGTTCTTTAATCAACTTTAATTACCGAAAATGAAAAGCAATGAACCGTGTCCGATTTTGTGACTATTATTGCTTGAAGATGACAGCAATAACTTTCATACATACCGTATATGTAAATTTGTCTAAACATCCAAAACATTTTTTTGCATTAATTATAACGTTACATGAGAGCCTTTTTTCCTAATCTAAAATACCAGAGTTTAGCTTAAATACCGTAGTGACAACACGGCCATTATCAAGGCTTTGCGCGAAACGAAACGATACATAATGTAGAATAAAATGCAAGTATTTATTTGTTCAATGTCAATACAATAATTTTTACGTATCTTATCTTTAATATTTATTTTTTTCAATTGATTACAGGAAGTAAGTGTGTTGTAAACGGTAGTTTTGCTATGATTGGTCAAGTGGAGTAGTTTTTGTCTATCACAATATTCCGATTTCGATTATTCGAACCCATCGATTATTCGAAGTAAATAATCAGTCCCAGGCACTTCGAATAAACGGGGTTGGACTGTATGTTTTTACATATTTCGGCTCAATATTTTAAATTGTCTGCTTTTTATCTTTTTACAATTTTAGTAATGTGTTTTAAATCCTAGCTGTAAACAGGATTATCATTAACTCAAGATTTGACTGTGATATACATTTTTATGATTTATTAGTATTTTTAAACATGATTATATTTAGGTCTGCCTCTCTATGTCATGCCGCCAATACAAAGGACCACAATGGAAATAAGAGCTTTTTTGCCCTATTTTGTGTTATCCTTGGTTTCGGTGAGCATGTCATAGTTTTCTCGTATGTGATATAGTATTTAATAATGCTCATTATTTTATCCTATGTTATATTGTCAACTATGTACATGCTTCCTTTGCCGAAATAAATCTATCTATCAATCATGAATTAATGACTGAGAAATTCTTGGAGAAAGTGGATGAATTCATGGACGTTTATAAAAATGTGGTTTTTGAACCAGTAAAATGTTATGTTTGACTGCATGTTATATGTAAATGAGTTAAATCGATTATTTCATGTTTTTATTTGTTTCTGAATTATCAACTTAACAAATATTTACTCTTAGCAATGGCTGTAAACTGTCCTTTAATTAAAAAAAATATAAATCTAATAATACTAAAATACGAAATCCTAATAGTGTCAAATGAAATAAAAAAATGGAAATGCAAAGGCGTTATAACGCGAATAAAGGCGTTATTACGCGAATCAAAAGGCGTAATAACGCGAATAAAGGCGTTATATCGCGAATCAAAAGGCGTAATAACGCAAATTAAAACGCATTATAATGTCAATTTAATACCATATTTATACTAATCAAATTGCCTAGTAACGCGAGAAAGGAAGACCAATATTAATCTGAATTTATTGCTCAAGATATAACTCGTATAGAATAATACAATATACATTTACAATAACTATCATTCCATTTGCACAGTAATAATGCAAACTATTTGTCATTAACTAATGAAGACTCTTTAATATTTGCCAATATAAGATGACTTGGTGACTTATAGGTCCACCAGACTGGACTTAAATAAAGTTACTCTGAATTCACATGTATCACATCATTGATTTTAAACACGTCACTATAGTAAAGGAATTTCTTTCTTATCTTTTCTTTTCTTACATCTTATCTTATCTTATATGTGCGTCATATGTTCAATTATCTACGGATATGTCCTGTATAATTACTTAATAACCTGTAGTATCTTCTAATTATGTGAATGTCGTTCCAAATAACGCCATAGGTATATAATAGGCTATACGTAACAATATTTTGAAAAAAAGTAAAGTATAAGTAAATCACATTAGGGTGAAAGTATATCTTAATTATTGATAGGTATGCTTAGAAGAGTGATAGTGTTTCTGTTAAGTTACAATTATAGGACACATTATCTCCTTTGTCCTTGTAGAAAAGTATCTAAAGTTGGGTGATAGTAACCTCTATTGCGACGAAAGCATTTCCTAATAAAAGATTTAAGAAATCAAACTGTGGTCTTAGGACGTATCCGTACAGAATTGAAAATAAAACGTACATCTTTATCAATTCATTTAGATCAACATTGTTCTTCCTTTCTTACATGACTAGTCCATTGTTTGGAATTTATATGGTATAAAATAAGCGTTATAACGCCTTTTGTTTTGCGTTATTACGCCTTTTGGTTCGCGTTATTACACCTTTTGATTCGCGTTATTACGCCTTTTGTTTCGCGTTATAACGCAAAAAAGGCGTTAGAACAGGAATTGAAAGGCGTTATAACGCGAATTTAAAGGCGTAATAACGCGAATAAAGGCGTTATAACGCGAATCAAAAGGCATAGTAACGCCTTTAATCGCATTATAACGCGAATCAAAATGCGTAATTACGCGAATCAAAGGCGTAATAACGCGAATAAAGGCGTTATAACGCGAATTGAAAGGCGTAATAACACGAAAAAAGGCGTTTTAACGCGAATTGAAAGGCGTAATAACGCCTTTATTCGCGTAATAACGCGGAACAATAGGCGTAATTACGTGAATCAAAGGCGTTATAACGCGAATAAAGGCATTATAACGCGAATTGAAAGGCGTAATAACGCGAATAAAGGCGTTATAAAGCGAATTGAAAGGTGTAATAACGCCTTTATTCGCGTAATAACGCGAAACAATAGGCGTAATTACGCGAATCAAAAGGCGTACTAACGCGAATAAAGGCGTTATAACGGGAATCAAAAGGCGTAAAAACGCGAACCAAAATGCGTAATAACGCAAAACAAAAGGCGTTATAACGCTAATTTAATACCATATAAATTCCAAACAGTTGCCTAGTAATGTATGGAAGGAAGAACAATGTTGATTTAAATGAATTGATCTAGATGTACCTTTTATTATATGCCCAAAAAAATTTCGGGCATATTATGTTATACCCCTAGGCGTCCGTCCGTCCGTCCGAGCAAACATTTTGGGCTTAGGGGCTATATAACAGTAAATAGAACAAAAGAGAACAATAGGGTCATCCGTGATCAAAGGATTTATGGTTTTGGTTCGCGTTATAACGCCTTTGTTCGCGTTATTGCGCCTTTTGATCCGCGGTATTACGCGAATAAAGGCGTTAATACGCCTTTTGATTCGCGTTATAACACCTTTATTCGCGTTATTACGCCGTTTGATTCGCGATATAACGCCTTTATTCGCGTTGCTACGCCTTTATTCGCGTTATTACGCCTTTTGATTCGCGTAATAATGCCTTTATTCGCGTCATAACGCTTTTGCATTTTTATTTTTTTATTTTATTTGACACTATTAGTCTTTCGTACTAAAATAATTAAAATAAACATAATTATTAAAGCATTATATTGTTGGCATATTTACTTAATAGTAAAAAATGGATGAGGGGTGAAGTGTCTTACTGATTGGGGGGGGGGGGTGAAGTGTCTTGAGGGTGAAGTGTCTTCAATATTTGAGGGATGAAGTGTTTTGGGGATCAAGTGTCTTGCTATCCCCTGTACAAAAAATCAGCATGGCTTTTATAAAAAAAAGGACCGATTCAGGCCTGCTTTGAACCAGAATTGGCAAAATCAGGGTGAAAATAGAGACATGGACCCTGAGTTTTTAATAAATCTCACATGGGAATTCAAGTTTTTGTGCCCCCAATATAGGGGGGGGGGATTTAGATTTACCCTTGTCCGTCATTCCGTCCGTCCGTTCTCTTTTTATGTCGCACGTAGCTCAAAAAGTAATTGACTTACGGTCATGAAAACTTACAGGAATGTTGATCAGCATATGTAGTTGTGCACCTGTGTAATTTTGTGTGGATATATTTAGTATTTTTAGAGTTATTGCCCTTGAATTAGTAAAAATTTCCAATTTTCAACTTGTGTCGCACGTAAATTTAAAAATATTTGAACTAGAGTCATGAAACCTAACAGGAATGTTGCTCAGCATGAATAGTTGTGCACCTGGGTATAATTGTGTGGACAATTTTAGTGTTTTTAGAGTTATTGCATCATCTTACAATCTGCACAGAATCTCATATTTCTAAGGTCAGCTTTCAGTTTATATAAACAAATAACCTCCAAGTGAAACTTTATACAGTATTTCAAAATTCTTTGTGTTAAACTGGGCTATCTGGCAGATGAAAATAGAGAAGTTACCATGGATTGACCGTCAGTAGTTTAAAATGTACAGTAAAACACTGGAAAGCATTAAATAAGCATGTGTATAATATTGAAGCTTCACACAGTTGTAGAGATTAAGTGAGAGGAGTGAGTGCAGTGTCAAAGAACCATTACTCTGCATTGCTTAATTCTTTTCGTTATCTCCTTTTATAATTCATTTGTAATTTATTATGCTTGTCAGAAGAATGACTTATAAGTATTGCTTGTCCAAGATCTATAATGCTTTAATTTTAAATACTCTAGCAAAACCTGCGTCTGACAAGGATCTGAATAACATTTCACAATGCATTGGTACCAATTGGGAAATGATGGCACCTTTCCTTCTAGGGACAAACACAACAGTTACAGTAGAGCAAATAAAAGAAGATCATAAGGGAAGTCACAAGTGTGTGTATTATTTACTTTACAATTGGCGTGCACAGACAAATGACCCATCATTGGCTCATTTATTTCACTCTATGTACCAAGCTGGTATGTCTATGACAATTGATTGGAACGCAATTGCTGACAAACTCAAAGTGACTATAAAGGATATCCAAGCATGTAAGTTGCAGTTTTTCAATTATTCTGTTGCAATTCAATATTTGATATTTCTAATAAATACAAAATATTTCAGTTTCGTTTTAAAATCCATATGAGTTAAGCTGTTTCTAATAATAATAATGTAATATCAAGATTTATTAATGTTATTTTCAGCTCACTAAAACAAAAGAGATATTGTGATAACAGGAGTAATGGTTAATGTTCTGAAAAATTTGGCCACTTTTAAGGGTTGGCAGAACTTAAAATAAAAAGCCTTTGAACATTTTATTCACGGGATTGATAATTGGTGGTCAGATATCTACTTCGTAAAACTTTGGCATGAAACATAAACTCATGGGTCTTTATTAAACTGTTTCTTATCTTGGCCTTGCACTCTTTTAAGGTTGAAATAGGGCCTCATTCACAAAGCCAAAAAGTAGCTGCTTTCCAATTTTAATGAAAATTCATAATTTTAGTCATTGACAAAATTGTCTTAACTTAAATTACATGAGAACCAGAGATTAAACTATATGACTTTGTTTTATAAAGTGTCTATCATAAATCAAGGCATTTTCCAACACATGATTAAAACTTTCCCCCATTAAATATAGCTTAATGTAATATATTAATGAAATTAAAGTTTTATCTATTAAAAGTGTCTGCATGATTGATTTTTCATTTCAATTTAAATAAAGTAAATGTCTTACTTGTTAAGGTAAAGCTGGGTACCCGGGTCAAGAACAAGAACAAGAACAAGAAACTGGGCAACAGCAAGCTTCAGGTAATACTTAGATTACTACATACTAGGTATATGTCACACCCTTTTATTTAGGAAATAGATATCAATTGTTTTAGTGCATGATTGCAGAATAATTCATGGTTTGAGTTAAAATGGGCAGGAATACAATCATGAAGGCCAATAGTTCAAGTGGTCACTAAATTTATATACAATACATTTATGTATTGTGTCTTGTTTTTAACTCACCTAAGCACAGCATGCTCATGGTGAGCTATTGTGATCCCCCAATATCCGTCGTCCATCCTTGTGCGTCTGTGTGTCGTCAACTGTTACTAAACAGCATCTTTTCTGAACAAATATTTGCACAGGAACCAAACTTTACAGGAATGATCCTTGGTGGTCACCTTACAAAGTTGTTCAAATGGTTCTGGTCTGTTGCACAAGTATGTCACGGGGCCAGAAAAGAAGTTTCAAAAATGCAAATTTACAAAACCTTATTGTCTGAATGACCCAGCACTTTGATATTTAGTGCTTGATATCATCTATAGACCATCTACCAAAGTTCTTCAAATCATGTCTCTTATGTGTCAATAGTGGCCCCACCAAGGGGGTCATAGGTTTCCTTATATGTTAAAGTAAAAACTTAAAAATCTTCTTCTCTGAATTGACAAAGACTAGAGGTTAGATATTTGGCATGAAACAAAACATTGTGTTGTGGACCTCTACCAAGTTTGTTCAGATTATAGCCCTAAGGTCAAAATTGACCCCTCCCCGGGGTCATTGATTTTCATTATTGGCATGTAGTAAAAACTTTAAAAATCATCTTGTTTGAGGTACAAGGTTTAGAGCTTTGATATTTGGTGTATAACATCATCTTTAGGCCCTTTATCAAGGTTATATAAATTTTGCCTCTAGTGTCAAAATTGGCCCCACCCTGGGGTTCATTGGTTTTCCTTATATGTATTACTATAAAGAAAAAAAGTTTTAAAAATCTTCACCGAATTGACAAATGCAAGAAGTTAGATATTTGGCATGGAATATTGTGTAATGGACCTCTACCAATATTGCTAAGATTATAGCACTGGGATCAAAATTTTCTCTCACGGGTGTCATTAATTTTCATTACGTAAACTTAAAAATGTCTGAAGGAACAAGACATAGAGCTTTGGTGTATTTGGTATATATTTTTTGCATTCTAGTAATTTTAAATAAGTCTAGGGTTTTCAAAATACTTCTTATAAATGTTTTTTATTGTTTTTTTTTAGCTCACCTGTCATAAAGTGATATGGTGAGCTTTTGTGATCTTTTTTCGTCCGTCGTCGTCCGTCGCCCGAAAATGTTTACTTTAAACGACATCTCCTCATAAACCGCTGGGCCAATTTCATCCAAACTATAGCAACCGATTGAAAAAAACTTAAAAAATCTTATTAAAAAACCTAATCAGGTAAAGCTTAGATATTTGGCATGAAACATCTTCTAGTAAATGTCTATCAAGTTTGTTAAAATAAAAGCACTGGGGTTAAAATTGGCCCCGCCCAAGGGGGTCATTTCTTTTCCTTATATTAATTTAGTAAAAATTTAAAAAATCTTCTTTAAAAACCCAAAAGAGCTAGAGCTTAAATATTTGGCATGAAACATTGTCTGATGAGTGTCTACCAAGACACAGTTAATGCACTGTGGGATATTTGGGTTCCTTCCTGTACTATAAAATCTGAAAATTCATATAATCTTTAATGTCATGAATTATTTAAAGTGACACATTTTGTAATGTACCTATTAATACTGATTGTTTTGGTCTACATTATTGTATTGTAGAAGTATTAAGATTTTTAACCCTTAATCTACTGGAACCAAAAGTGACCAGCCTTTGCCACCAGTATAGAGCCAGGTCAGCCTGCACATCCGTGCAGTCCCACCAGGCTCTATACTGTAGGCAGCCTAATTTTTTAATTTTAATATTGAAATCCCTTAAACTTTAAATGAACTGTTCCAAATTCAAAGCATGACAGGTTCATTATAGAAATAAAGCATGTCAAGGGTTAATTGTTGTTGTTATATTGTTACAGGTGATGTGGCTTGTAGAGGTTCTATGGAGATATAGTAGGACTGTCATTGATGGAAAATTTTGTATTGATATATCGAGAGACAAATATGGAAGATATATCGACTTTGACAGTAGATACAATGAAAACATTTAAATGTGTTTTATTAATTGGGATCATGGTATTATGCAAGATTGTATAAGACATAATTATACAAATATCAGAAAGTTTTTTTTCTGTTATTTTTGTCATTGACATTTGAAAACGTAGTTTAGAATTAAAGTTAGCCAAGAAAAAAATATCTTAATTATGCAAATAGAGAGGCATATTTACTAACAGAAATAAATAAGTTGTAGCTTGTATCGATATTTGAAAGTGTGTATCGATATTGTATCGGATGATGAATATAGATGATATATCAATGTTGCAATAGTCAATGACTGTCAAGTTTTGGTTTCACTTATGAGATTTTTATCGATATTCTGAGCGGTATTTGTGATTATAAGTTAAGAATCGCTGTACTCCTGGACTTGCTGCAGTATTGGACTTGCTGCACTCTATTAGACTTGCTGCACTTCTCGGACTTGCTGCACTATTGGACTTGCTGCGCTTCTTAGACTTGCTGCACTTCTTGGACTTGCTTCACTATTATTCTTGCTGCGCTTCTTGGACTTGCTGCACTATTAGACTTGCTGCGCTTCTTAGACTTGCTGCGCTTCTTAGACTTGCTGCGCTTCTTAGACTTGCAGCGCTTCTTGGACTTGCTGTGCTTCTTGGACTTGCTGCGCTTCTTGGACTTGCTGCGCTTCTTAGACTCGCTGCGCTCCCTCCTTGGACTTGCTTCTTTACTGGGAAGCGGACCGTTCGTAAATTTGCTTCTTTACTGGGAAGCGGACCGTTCTTAAACTTGCTTCTTTACTGGGAAGTGGACCGTTGCTAAGGCTCAACTCTTCACTAGAAAGCCGACCGTTTTTTAGACTTGCTGCTTTATTCGGTTCCCTCACTGGACCTGCTCACCAACAAGGAGACTTGCTGAAAATTAAGCTTTCTGACAATATATATAAAGCTTCTTTCGAAATCAATTTTTTTTCTTCTTTTTTTATTTCCAATTTCATTTCATATAAATACACAACGCGCGAACCGGATAGAACGCCACAATTGTGACGTCACGTCAAAACAATAAATAATACAAAATGGCGGACATTTGTGTTTCTTTTCATAAATAAAATGGCTATTTTGACAACAGCCCTCTTCAAAAGGAAATATTAAATATTTCCATCAAATGTCAAAATAACATTCTTTTTTATTCATCTGTTTCTTGATACTGTCTGCTTAGGTAGTCTGCAAAGATATTGTCGGATCCTTTGATGGCTTCAATACGGAACTGGTATGATTGAAGAAATAAGGCCCACCTCACTAATCGACCGTTGTCTGGTGTACTTTTCTGGATGTACGACAATGAACTGTGGTCCGTTTGTATGATGAACTCTTTCCCATACAAGTATTTTTGGAACTTCTTTATTCCATATACGATTGCTAGACACTCTCTTTCTCCTACAGAATAGTTCCTTTCACGATCAAGTAGCTTCTTGCTTGCAAAGGCAATAGGAAACAACTCTCCCTCATATCTCTGAAGCAATGCTGAACCTATCCCAGCATTCGAAGCATCACACTGTAAAATGAATTCTTTCGAAAAATCAGGCAGTCGAAGAATTGGACTCTTGGTTAGTTGCTCCTTTAAAGTATTAAAAGCTCTTTCTTGCTCATCTCCCCATCGTACATTGTTTGGTAGGCCTTTCTTCGTTAAGTCTGTAAGAGGTGCCGCAATCTCAGCAAACGATGGTATAAATCTCCTGTAATATCCGGCAAGTCCTAAGAACGCTCTAACTTGTCTTTTAGTCTTTGGCACTTCTGCTTCTTTGATTCTTGTCAGTTTTTCCCCTTCCATTTGAACTATGCCATTTCCAACCATGTGTCCTGTAAAACCAATGTTGTTATATCCTATATAACACTTCGATGGCTTTATGGTAAGCTCTGCTTCTGCCAATCTTTGGAGGAGCTCCCGCAGCATTGTCATATGTTCTGTCCAGGTTGTTGTATGCCCTATCATATCGTCAACATAGTTGTCAACAAAATCACACCCTGCCAATAACTTCCGCATCATTCTGTTGAATGTGGCTCCAGAGTTAACCATACCGAAAGGCATTTTCTTGAATTGATAACTCCCTCTATCCGTTGCAAATGCTGTAAATCTGCGGCAATTTTCAGCAACTGGGATTTGCCAATAACCTTTGCATAAGTCGATCTTGGTAAAATACTTAGCATCTTTCAGCTTTGCCATGATGTCATCTACGCTTGCCATTGGTTCGGTGTCAAATTTGGTGACGGCATTCAGTCTTCTAAAATCAATACAAAATCGATTACTCCCATCTTTCTTCTTGACAATGACTATCGGTGCGTTGTATTCCGACACAGATGGTTCAATCACATCAGCCTTTATCATATCTTGTATTTCATTTTCAACAGCTTGTCTCTTGGCATATGGTATGGGGTACTGTTTCACTCTCACAGGCGTCTTGTCTGTTAATTCAACATGGTGCTCTATCAGTGGAGTTGTTCCTGGTCGCTCTGAAAACACTTCGCTAAATTCTTGAAGTATTGAAAGGACTTGCTTCCTCTGTTCAGGAGTAAGGCCCTCGCTGATATTGACATCTTGGTATGTCTCTCCACTTGTGTAGTTAGGGAAGTCCAGGAGACTTTCGTCATCTACCGCTCCATCTGAATTGTTTTCAACATCTTCTATGATTGCAACACTTGCTGCAATCTTCCCCTGATGTTCTTCATATTTTTTCAACAAGTTTATGTGAAATGTCTTCAACTTGTCTCCAATCTTGATTCTGTAATCAAATTTATTTATTACTTCGACAACTTGAAAAGGTCCTTTCCATTGCAGCATCATCTTATTATTATCCGTGGGAAGAAGCAGTAACACTTTATCTCCTACTCGCAAAACTCTATTTCGGGCTCTCTTGTCGTAGTGATGCTTGTATGTATTCTTTGCTTTCATCAGGCTTTCTCTGGCTATCTTGCATGTCTCCTCTAAGCGCTGCTTCAGGTTGAGCACATACAGGTATGTATTCTGTATCTCTGGATCTTCTCTTTGAGTCCACATGTCCCTTAGTATTTGCATTGGCCCTTTAACTGTTCTTCCATACAGCAACTCAAACGGGGAAAATCCTGTACTCGCCTGTGGTACCTCTCTGTATGCAAATAATACGGCCGGTAGGTATCTATCCCAGTCCTTCGGTCTTTCCTGGCACATTTTCCGCAGCATACTTTTAAGCACTCCATTCATCCGCTCACACAAGCCGTTGCACTTTGGGTTGTAAGGTGTTGTGTAGAGTTGCTTCACAGATATGAGTCGACATATCTCTTTCATGAGGTCTGCTGTAAATTGACTCCCTCTGTCACTTAGAACTTCTGAAGGAAATCCTACCCTTGAATATATTTCAAGCAGTGCTTCAGCAATGCTCTCGGTGTCTATTTTCGCCAATGGCACGGCTTCAGGGTAACGTGTGGCAAAATCCACCACCGTCAAGATATATCTGTTGCCCTTCTCCGACACTGGTATAATCGGTCCTATCAAGTCTATTGCTACTCGATGAAATGGTTCCTCAATCACCGGCATGTCTCCTAGGGGGACCTTCTTCACTCGCCCTTTTGGGATGGTCTTCTGGCACACGTCACACGATCTGCAAAAACGTCCCACATCTCCCGTTATTCCTGGCCAATGGAAGCTTGTCAGGATTCTGTCCTCTGTCTTCTTAGATGACAAATGTCCACCAACAATGGATTCATGGGCAAGTTCCATCACTCTCTTCCTAAAGTCTGTCGGAACGACAATCTGCTTGGAGTCATCACCATTTTTCTGAAAGTAAACTCTAAAAAGCACACCGTTTTCCACCACGTATTTAAACTTGGCTCCACCTTTGGTTTGCAGCTCTTCTGCCTTCTCTGCTAAGTCCCAAACTTTCTTCAATGAAGAGTCACCTTTCTGGGATTCCTTCAATTTCTCTATGTCAACTTCAGCTTCGCAGGAAGGTTTTGGAACAGTCAAAGCTTTGGTTGGAAGGTCTGCTCTCTGATGCTGTGCTCTGGTCATGACTGCTGCAACAGCCGATGGTTCTTCTGTCTCCTTCCATTCAGGATCAGGCCTATCAAGTACCCCGGCAACGTTACCAATCACTAAATCGCATATTAATGACTTAAGCACCATTGCCTCTAACTCCCCAACATAGTATGGCGTATCTACCCATATTTTCGCCAAAGGTACTACTTTGGCATCTCCATCAATTGTTATCATAACAATTTCTTTACCCGTGAGTTGTTCTTCTTTCACAAACTTCTTCTTTACCGCCGCTAACTCACATCCAGTATCTCTCAGCACTCTAACTGCATCTGCTCCAACAAAGCCCTTCTTCAACTCCAGGTTTCTTTCTTCTTCCAATAAATCAATGGTACAAGCTCCCGCGAGGATCGGCACAGTCTCTCCACTGGCTAACTTCAATTTTCCATCTTCAGTGTTCTTCTCTAGTGGATTAAGGTCTGCTTTGGCACATACGGCTGCTACCTTGCGGTCACTTCTTACACCTTCTGATTTTGTCTGCCTACAATCTTTTGCAATATGCCCCGTTTTATTGCAAATAAAGCATACCATCGGTGCTTGGCTTCTGTTGTTCTGTCGGCAGTCTCTGGCTAAATGACCCGCCTTATTACATATAAAGCATGTCTTCATTGGCGAATTTCTGTTCTCTGTCATTCTGCTTGATGTCTCTGGAAAGGATCTCTTGCCTATCTGCCCTTGTTTTGGAACTGGAGTACCTCTGGCAAAAACAGAAGACGCCCCTTTATGCGCTTCTATGTACTACTCTGCAAGGCGTGTTAACTCTTCTATTGATGTCGGCACTCTTTCTTTCAGGAAGACGGCCAAATCTGTCGAACACCCCTCGATGAACTGTTCATTGATTAAGAGCTCGCTTATTCCATGAAAGGTCTGCTCTACTCCAGCCATATCTGTCCACCTTGTGAAATATCGTCTCAACCTCTCAATGAACTGAAAAACAGACTCACCAGGTAGTGGTCTGCTCTGCCTGAACTTCACCCTGAAACCCTCTTCAGTCAACTGGTATCGTTTTAAGATAGCCCTCTTCAAGGTGTCATACTCGTT